AATATTACATTGTTCGCTTATTATGATAAAAATAATATGACATTTATATCGCGCAAATCCGTAAAACAATCATAATCATTGCTCTATGCGCATTGCATAATATTCATAAAAAACATGCATACACACATACATGCACATGATAATATAAAATTATGCACTAAAACATAATAGGTGTCACGACATGGTGGGATCAGGCGCTCGTCAGTTTTGAGGCATACAGAGTTATTGATATAGTTTTAAATCCTGTCCATTTGCCTTCCTTTTGATGAAAACGATATTCATCTATGCTGAATAGAAGTCGAAATATTTGGGATTGAAGGAGGTGGGGTCACCTGATTTCAGAGGTAAATTTAGAGAGAAAACGGCCGCCAAAGTTTGATAACTTCAATAGCTTGAGAGCCTTTAAAACTAAAAAATCACAAATTTTGTGCATGCAATGAACGTTTTTCAGTATGGACGTAGAAGGTGTTTAACGCGAAAAAAAATTCAATTAAAGTTCCCAAACCTGCTGAAAAATGCCAGTTTTTTTTCTTTTTCTTTATTTTGACGAGCGCCTGATTTCACCACGCTGCCTCACAATTAGAATAAATCATTCAAGGAAAATATTGCAGACACACTCTTTCTTACTAATAAGGAAAAAATTGAGACTCATGTCAATGACAAAAGCGCTTTAATTTAAAAAAAAAAAAGTTACAGTGGAATTCTGATAAAGTCAGCACCCCAGACAGAAAAAAGTGTTGACTTTGAGCAAGGTTGACTTTATCCATTGTACTACTGGGGTACTGGCCATTGCAGATTGAAGATATTGGCAACAAAATTACAAAGTAGGCCTACCAGGTATTAAACAAGATGTAATCTCAATTTCACGGAGTATAATTCTGAAGTTGTCACCAAAACAAGAGATAATGAAAAAACAAAGTACATATGTAATTGGAGGTGTGTACACCACTTGCTCAGGCTAAATATCTCTTCTTGAATGAATTCATCTTAGGATTTAACCCCAAATTGTTGACTTTACGCAAGGTTAACACTCAAGCGGTTGACTGTATTAGAAACACAATTACTTAAACAAAGAAGGTAAGAAACGGGACTACAGTGAAGTGTTGACTGTAAGCAAGAGTTGACTTTAAGCAAGTTGACAATATCAGGATTCCACTGTGTCTTTTATTTTATGCTGAAAAAAAAGAAGTGAAATTAGTTATCATCAACAAATGCAGAGTTCATCATTATGTCAAAAATATTTTTTTACCTTACAAAAGTGTAATATTACATTAGTTCAAGACCCCCCCCCCCCCCTTTCTTACACTTTTCTTACAGGAGCCAAAGACCCCCCCCCCCCCCCCCGGCGTAAGATTACATTTGAACGGCCCCTAATCAATACAAACAACAGTACTATAACTATACCTACCTATCTTTCCAGCTTACCATCAGCGTGTCAGTCCAATTCTTCATTTTGCACCATTTGGAGATTACCCAAACTATTGATATAGCAATCTAGCCTATTGTATTACATATATATCTATGATGATAAAAAGCTGAGATTTTTAGAAACTAGAAACAAAATGGCCGCTCTCTATCGAAGTAAGTTGCATTTGAGGCAAGGCGATGATTTACCAGTGACGAAGTGAATATCTAAGGACTTGTGCTGATACTTAAAGAACTACACAGTATTTACTGGTAAAATGAAGTGTAGATCTAAGGAGAATTCGTAATGATTCATTGCTTCCCACTGACACTGTCACACTGACTCGAACGAGACTAAACAACTGAGAAAGTGGCACTGACTTGACTTCAGACAGATTTTTGTTGAGATCGAGAGCAGGATTCATACATTGACAGTAGATTCTACCTCTCAACCGTATATTTTTATATTTTCTAACAAAAAGTAGGCTTAGCCTAGATACCAAAAAAGAAAGAAAATCACATAAAAGTTGATAGTATAGATCTAGATCTAGATCTAGAAATCTAGAAATCTAGACATCTAGATTCTAGATATCTAGACAGATATATAGATCTATATCATATCTAGTATCGTTGTAGAGTCTCTGTCTCTGTTGTTGTTTTGTTCATGAAATCTAGATCTATGTATGATTTCATAAACACTAGATCTAGATCTAGATTCTAGATTCTAGAGTAATCGTACCGGTTCGGGCAGCACGTTTTTTTTTTGCTGTCGGGCACTGGAGTACAAAAAGATCGTTTAAAACTTTGTTTTCAAATCTAGCCCCAAAAGAGGGGCACACAAACCTAAAGCAGCCTCCCTTACTTTCGTTGAAACAACAGTTACGGTGATATTTTGCTAAAAGTAGTCCTTAAGACAGCTTTTTCTTCATCAACTGAGCAAAACAGCGTGAAGCTCTTTCCCCGGAAGAGTTAACATTGGTTGTGGATGAAGGAGCCTGTGACCTAGATTCTACGTTTTGGTAAACTCTGAAGGCTGTAGAATTATTTGCATATGAGGCCCTGTCAAGGATGAAAGAGAATTTGCCGTTTAGTCTCGCCGTTTTTGGCCAAAGGGGGGGGTGCCCGGATTGTAACGTAAAATCCTTAGTTTCTCATCCTTCGGGCACATAAGATAATATAGAGCCAATGGTTATATAACAAAGAATAAAGAATTTGTGCATAATTTAAATAATAGTAAGTAGAGTCAGATACAGTACAGCATATTAACTCAGTCAGACACCAGTGTAATAGAGTCAGATACCAGTGTGTAATACAGTCGGATATCAGTGTTGCAGAGTCAGATACCAGTGTAGTTGAGTGAGCCAGATGCCAGTGTAGTAGAGTCAGATACCACGTAGTAGAGTGGGTCAGATACATACTCATTAAAATAGCTATAACTGGTGAAAACCACTTTAGACAAACTATCATTGTGTCCAAGTGTTGGTAACAAGCATTAAAAATCATGTTATTAAGCTTGCAAAGAAACAAATGTGATCATAATTGAAAATGACCGAAGGTCAAAATACTGCCCGAATCCATGAGAAAACCAAAAAAATGCAACCGAACTCGTAAATAAATCGGGCGTCACTTTTGCACCCAGTAAGGGCCTCAAATATGAGAACAAGCTGAAACAGGTCATTCCTGGGGTCATCCAATCACAGGGCTTCCTGTAGCTGGTTTCGGTTTGTCAGGGTTCCCAAGGAGTCCTTGAAAACTGCTTGAATTTGCATTCAAGGAAAAATGTCCCCTTGAAAACTGCTTGAATTTGCGTTCAAGGAAAAATCTTCTTGAAAACTCCTTGAATTTTGCCAGATCGGACAGGAACACGTGTACAGGGTGACTGCCAGGCCCCGGGAATCCCGGGGGCCCCTGGAATTACCCGGTCATTTGAAAAATATCGCCGAGACCCGGAATGCATCGGGAATTTGAAGAAATCTGTAAATTGCCCTGTGAAAGACCCGGGAAAATACAAACGTTGTCGAATATTTGAAAACCAAATCCGATAACGTCCTTGAGTTCATTTTTGCCGGTCGCGATTGTGATATATAATATTCATTCGGCCTTTCCCGGCCTGAGAGTACGTTACATGCGCACAGGCGGTTATGGCGGCAACAAGTGGAAGTGTATGCGATACCAAAGCTCGATCAGGAAGAATCAAGATCTACTTTCGCTTTCGTTACCACCTAGAAATTTGCTGGTAGGACCTATCCTATAGTAGTCTGATAGCGCCACATTTGTAACATGCAGGTTCTGCATTTCAAACGCTGTGTCGCCATGAAAATAAATCGTTTGTCCTGTGCTGTCACTTGTGGAAAAAAAAGAAAAAAAAAAAAAGTTATACAAACTTCTTGTCAGGCTCGCCATCGTGACCGGTCATTGAAACTGTGCATTTTCGTCACATCGTGAGTATCGCGATGGTTGAGGTCACTAAAGTTCATGCAAAGTCTGAGCGCTGCGAAGTATTGGGCTCGGGAATGGGGGGATTATTGATTTTTTTAAAAAGTCGCACGTGGGAGAAGGGGTGGTGGTGTTGAAGGCAACACCGGATGACAAAAACTAAACTTGGAAGCAGATTTTACTTTTCAGAATTTTGATTACTACTAGATCTATCTAGATCTAGTGCTCTCTGCAATGCGCGCGTTGGTGCAGGCCTTGTGTGGAATCGGGATTTGTCATATTCAAACCTTGTAAGCCGTGTGTTTGTATCTAAAGGGTTCCTGTTTCATTGGGTAGGTGATAGTAAATTTATGTATTGTATTATTGTATTCTATATTTGAGCTTTCTGTTCAAGATTTGCAGATTTTCAGAGTCACTGCGTCTTGCCCTCCCACAGTTTTTACACCTCTCACACTGAATAGGTCTACTTGAGACATTCATGTTATTACTCTACTTTTAGTTAGAGTAATAATTTTTATCTTTCACATTTATTTTATAAACCTTGACACCCAAACTGGTTCTTGACAGTGGATATTCTGGTTCTAGGCCTTTTCTCAGGCTCAACAAAGCAAGATTAATTTTTATATAGTTTATATAGGGGAATATGATGAGGGGAAAATATAAATAAGTAAGAATTGACTGAAATACCTAAGTCACAGTATCCCAGTGCCACACTTACATGTTGCTGACTGGAATGTACCTACATGCGTGCGTGCGCACCATTCTGTGTATATTTTAACATATAATATATATAAATGAAGCATGCACTGTCATTGTTATGTAACATGCCCCTGGAGAATGGATGAGACCCCCCACCCACCGGAAAATTGAGAAGCCGGGTTGGCAGTCACCCTGCGAACAGTTTTTGTAGGGAAATCGAAACTATGATATGATTCTTTTCGGACAAGTGTAGACCTACGAAAATAAGCTTTTGTCATGAATTTCTTGACCAAATCTCCTTGAATTTTCAAAATTTCTCCTTGAAACCTCCTTGAAATCTCCTTGAATTTGGTGGGAAGTTCATGGCAGGAACCCTGGTTTGTCTCTAGGGCAAGGCAGATATATGAGATATAAAGCTTTAAAGTCGACGTGCCTGTTTTCGTCCTAATTTTTACCGAACCGGTAATTTTACTCTAGGTCTATTCTAGATCTAGATCTAGATCTAGGGTATTTTTTTACTTTCCCTCCTGTCTCACACTCAGCTACCAGTTGTCCATTTTCTACTAAATATTGATGCGCTGAACACGAATATCAACTTCATATCCGTCGCAATTTAATAGTTTTTGAAATATTTGATTGTTTTTACAAGTGGCTAGACGGCTAGACTGCCAGTCTAGGACGGCTAGACTGCCAGTCTAGCCGTACTTAGATCTAGGTTTGGCCCTATCGACTCAAGCCTGTTAATTACACAGGTCTCATTAGATCTAGATCTAGTAATTATTCAGGTTCAAATACATGCAAGTCAGTAAGGCACCTTTTGGTTTTGTCTGAAATACAAATACTTTAGGCATTGCATACTAAAAAATTTCATTTACAATTCAGCTATCAATATTAAGTACGGCTAGCCTGACAGTCTAGCCGTCCTTAAGTACGGCTATCCTGGCTGTCTACCCGTACTTAAAAGTACGGCGAGACAAGAAGTCTAGGCGTACTTAAGTACGGCTAGACTGGCAGTCTAGCCGTACTTATCTTAGGCCCTATTAGGGGAAAACGACGAAAAAGTCGAATGGTCCTGCGCAGGTAGCGAGGCAAATTTTTCAGGAGAGGCAAAAACAGTTTTCACTTTATAACTCTTCTATTTTTCACTCTTTTAAGCTGTAATTCACCAGATATCTGATTTAGATGTTCATTAAGCAGTTTCTAAAGTTTGAATGGTTTAGGTTAAAAAGTAGCAGTTATTCGACATTCGTCGTTCTCCCTTACACTGCGCACCCGCAGGTGAGCCTTGCGATGTAAGCGAAAACGACGAATGGTACGGTTCGTCGTTCTCCCTTACACTCGTGAACGTTTATGGGCTTAGGCGATGGTCAGTTATGACGCACCATTGACAGTAATGACTGTGTACTGGTAACTACAAATAAAAATAAGACGTATACAAACCAGTTATTATACGTATAAAGTTAGGTTTTTGTTATATCCCAACTGTAACTCGGTAAACGTCCTTCGTTTCCCTTCCTCGCTTAATTAAATACTACACAGCCAGTGTACAAATCAGATGTGCACACATTTGTAACAGCTTGATTTAAAACTGTCTCATTCGGAACCAAAGTTTGGTTTCCAAAATATCTCTTTACTGTATTCTCTTCAGATGCGAGTTTTACTTTTATTTTCGCTAATTGCAAATTTTTCCCTGCACGACCAAAGGGATCAACAATGTTACAATGTCAATAATACGATCAGATCATTGCAAAGGCAAACTTTCACATAAGAAATGTAACAATCTGACAAGACTGTATCTCAAACGTTTTTTTGGGAGAGGTAATGCAACGCTTTATGTTTAATAAAGAATTGAGTTGATCGGATCGGAAAACATAGGCCTACCACAAAGTAGAGATCGACAGGAACAGTTTGAATCTGCAAGACATTATTATACTCGATCGTTACGTCCATCAAGTCATAAAAAATCGTAAAGCAAGACTAAGTGTCGCCACAATACCTCCTTTTTTAAAGTTGGACTAAGAAATTTACTCTCATAACGCAGTGTCATTAATTGCTTGGTAATTCTATAATGATGTCGACCAGTGGCACGTGCTAGACAAATTGCGGCACTATAACCATCGTTGGGATTTGGGATGTCA